AGTAGGTAACGCAACTACCTATGAAGCGTCATACAAAAAGCACAGGCAACTGTGCTGTAAAGAGTCATGTCATACGAACGTTTTTGCAAATGGCTGCTGTCGCTTCACTGAATTTGTCTACAGGCTTGTGGCCCCAGCGCCACACCTGGGGAGCAGCGGAACAAAAAGCATTTTCTAGCAGTTTACTTGGCCAGCATGTCATGAAACTGCCCCTACTTTTGTTGGCGATATGGCTTCCGTTTGCCTGCTTTTCACGCTAGACAGGAAGACAGCCAACAAAAAATCCGAGGCCACTCGAGTCGTAATGCCCTCATTGCGTTTTGTGGGGACTGCACGTGAATGCGAGCTCCTAGGTTGGTTGGTGGTCCAGGCTTTAGTTGGCGCCCAGTTGCAACGAGCATGAAAGTGTTAATAGGACACTGCGTAGCCAGCAACTGCTTTTAAAAGGAAAGACGTAGAAAACGTAAAGCACGTGCAGGTCATTGTGGTTGCCTACCAAAACGGATCTTTCTCAGCAGAGAGGACTTGATACTTGTAAGCAGCCGGCAGAAGAGTACCGCTACAATCTTCGTAGGTAGAGGAAACGTTAGAAAGTGATTGTACGGATCAACACTTCTTATGTAATGAACAACAGAAGAAAAAGAAAAGGGGATATGGGGATGTGCTGTAAAGGCCTGAAGGCCGAAACAGTCTGGCTTTCATTACAACAGGTGCAGTCTCAGCTGAAAGGTACTTCACAGAGAAAAGCTCTGCGCAGTGTGGAATGGCTGGAGACACTCGTTGATAGCTGCGGATCAAATAGGCTAAACGACGACCTAATTTGTTAAAAAGCAGATTCTTTTTCCCCTGTACATCCTGTCATGCACTAAGGCTGTGTTCTTACGTAGCGTTCCAGAGCCAACCCATAAAGGTGCGTCATATCTAGTGCCCGCTGTCCCAGCGGTATATCCAATGTTATTCCTTTGAAAGCACCCCTACAGGTCCCAAGCTTAGGTAGTCTAAGACAGAACCGTAAGGGCCAGAGGAAATTCAGCACTGGTCTCGTTTGTTACACGGCCAAGTTGCAAACGATACGGAAAACTGCCAGGTGTAGGCAGCGCTTACCGTCTCGCATTGTGCCTATTTTCCGTACCGCATCGTTTGATACTTTAGAGCGAATTGTAAAGCTGGCAGAAGGCGCAGTGATTTTCGTTATTTTCCAGATAAAATAGTAAGATATAGTCGGGGTATCAGAGCCATCATTGTGTCCGCGTGCAAGGGTCTGGAGTTTTCAGACAGACTATTTTAGCTGAAAGGAGTTAGAGACGATATCTTAGGAAACTCATCTAGTGCGCTCCGCGCGTGTGCTGCATATCCACAAAATTTAACGGTAGATGCCTATTGGCTGACAGAAATGAATAGGTGCAGTCCCTTTCCGCTGGGACAAGGCACCATCATCAAATTATGTCAATGCTTGGACATGTTATCAAGAACTTCCGCTCATTTTGTTCACGAACAGAACACATGCTCCCAAAGCTAGCTAGCCGACGGATTCGTTACGTGTCTACTAGTTTTATTCTGTCAGGCGCCTCTGACGGAGAGTGTTTCCATCAAAATACTTTGCCGTAGCTGTTAATACCTCAGGAGGTGCTGTTGTGAAGCATAATCCTACGCACTCTGCACGCCGATCTGAAATCGTGGGGCAGCTTGTAAAGACTAAGAAGCATAGCTGTCTCGATTATAAGTACACTGGACCGTTTTTATGCTTTCGCGAAAGCCCGCACCTTTCATTAGGCTTAACATTCAGACAAGTGTTTTCTAGGCGCTCACCACATGACGCGAGCTGTGTATGCGAAGTCCGTTGCCCACTTTCACCGCGCATGTATGGCTCTAAAACTGCAACGTGCTCATCATGAAGCCGCAGCACTAGATGTGAATTCGATGGGTTTGAAGGCGATTGCAGCGCAACCTAAATCGGTTGTAACAGTTCTGGAAAGCACTGAGGCGAGGGAGACGAAATCAGTGTATTTGTAAGCTAGCAGGAGCAAGCCAGCTTTTAGCCGCAGTATAAATCATTAGACTCCTGCATTGCTTGAGAGTCAGCTTCCAGGGGAGGGTGTTCAGGACGGCTCTCACACGAATGCTGTCCTCCATAACTAATCAGCGAGCTCACGTTGCAGAAGCGCCACCTCCTGTTGCAGAGATTCCACCTTGGCCTTCAATGCAGCATTTTCCTTTGTCAAATTCTGCACTTCTGCCCGAAGTGCATCTACTTCTACACCTACACTCGCACGTCACTAGAGACAAGACTGGATAAAACTCGGCGCCGGACTAAGACAAACTCCCGCAGTTCCCGCAAGCAACTTTGTGCCAGACTGAAGGTGTTTTATTTTACCTGTTGGAGCTCCTAAATGCCGTTTGATGTAGTCAAGTGCGTTCAGCGGGCGTTCAGAAGTCTCATAAAGTCCAACAAGAACGCGCGTAAGCTGGCGAATGACACCATGATCTTCCAAGTATTTTCTAAAAGCGGCTTTGTTAACATCTGTTTGATCTTGTTTGGCGTTCATCTTGAAATATCAGGAAGCACTGCGCAAGCTGGTATGCTTTGCCTTTCAGAGTTTCCGTAAGCCGCCAAAAATGAAGGAATCAACAGCTTATGAGACGACTAAGTGCGGTGGCGCTGCTGAAAATTCACGCAGGAAGGCTTTCTTGTTGCGGGAGTTCGTAGCGTGGTTTGCCTCTCCCACTTCAAAATTAGTGCGGTTCAGTACGGTCCTCTCCTGAAGGGCCGCAGAGATACTTGCAACGCTGCATGATGTCAAGCTGGGGAACCCGGTTCCATTCTGCCTGAGTAAAGGATATAGTCTACAGTTTTCACGCCACTCTGCTGAAATGTTAACACTCTCAGCAAAGCCTTCTAATTTTGAGGTAAGGAAGTGCATAGGTTCGTGATCGCGCTATCTCATTGCCCTGTTGAGTTGACGAACGCCAAGATTTTCAAAATCCATGGCTGTCCAGCTGTTACTTCGCTACGAATAATCGTAAGTCTGAACATATTTTCAAGGGAATGACATCGCTGCCGCACTGTGTGTCGCGTCCACTACAAAAGAATGCGCGAAGAACTGAAACTGACGCACTTCGAAAAACGATAAGATTCCACAACTTCCCTAGAGGGTCAGCAACTATCTGTTTCAGTCATAAATTTCAATTCGTATCCTTCAGGTTGGCAGTAAACATCAACCGACCGTAGCAACATGTGCAGCGTGTCTCTCGATGATCCAAAGGTTCCCCCTGGGAGCGACTCAAACTAAAATCAAGCAAAGTGAACTGCTTATTAGAAGAGTTTTAAGAGCTTCTACTTGTGTAAATGACCCAAGAACATTGGCACGCCGTCGCATGGAGGTGAAGCGTGTGATAATCTGCGACGCACGTCAGCTCTCGCTCCTTCAGCAAAAACTGGGGTACCCACTTGATTTTAGATACATAGGTCTGAAATGAATTAGCGACTGTAAGTGGTGCAACGCGATGAGGCCAGCCGCTATTCTTCAGGACGCTCGTTGTGTGTTGACGCTCCCTCATGATGCATGCTGTTACAGCCCCTGGTAGACGAGGCTGTAGACACTTTTTGAAAGTCGGATGCTTAGCAGCGCGTAGCAATGCTTAGAAATATATAGCTGGGAAATTATACTGGTCATATCCCGAGTAGGGACTCTTCTTCCCCATTATTCCTCCAGAGTTCAGCTTTACAGGTGACAGGGGTCACCAGTTGATCGCGCAGAACACAATCACGTTTCGAAACCCGAAGACGACCCCCAAGAGCATGCCTGCAAGCCAACGTAACTAGTATATGAGATCCGTTTGCTCTCCACAGGGAGACTAATGGCTAACAACTGGTGTTGCAGTCAACACCTCAACGAGAGTAAAGCATGAACCAGATTGCATTCCGTGCCTTTCCTACTTATGCATAGCATGCGCTATTAAGTCTTCTATAAAGGCGCTGTAGAAAGGCTTAGCACTAAAATACCGGCTTGATCGGAATGATTGTCGAGCAGGCGCGGGGTAGCAACCTACCCAACTGCGTTGTATCGCAGCAGAGGCAGAGCAAATTCACTCGATTTTGAATAATGGGCATCGGATACACTATTCGCTCCTGTAAGTGACGGATGGAAAACTGTTATTCATGAGGCTGAAGCGGCCTTCTCACCTAGAGTGCCCAACTGAATCAGCTCGTGACTGGAAAGCCTTTCCTGCCGCCGGCTACACATCAGGAAGTGAAGAGCAAACCCTCTTCTTCGGAAGCAATGCAGGCACGTTACGTTCCTTTCCTTGACCTGTGGCAAAGGGTGCCCTGATTATTAGCTCACAGGACCGGTTTGGTAGTACCGGCCAGCTTAGTCCGCGTGGTTGCTGAACTGGTTACTCTGCGTGCGAAGGCCGCCGTTAGTAATGAGACTCAACGTACGCAAGCTCCCCAAAAAATCTCCCCAGAAAGTACCTTGGAAGAAAGAGAAATTCTCATTACAAATGATTCATCGGTCCATTTCCTTACTGGAGAGGAGGAAACAGATGAAACACGGAGAGCAACCGATGACTCTCATGCTCATGCCTGCTCAAATTGTAGTGGAACTGCTGGAGATGCAGATGCAGAAGATGATGTTTCTATGGCAGGAAACAACAGGGACTCGGCGCAGCAAATAACTGGTGATAACCAAGCTCAAAAGGCTCTCAAATGGGCACAAAGACGTGGGGGAACGCGCGCCCTAGTGGAAAAGACAAGAGAAGCGTTTCTGCTTCAGATGGCAATAGACACTAGAAAGGCAGGTTCGTATGTCTAGCTGAATGCAGACTCAGCGTATCCTGATACTCCAAAAGGCAGAAGACCAACGGACAAGCTAATGTAGCACTCCAAGCTTCGATTCCCTACGGAGATTGCGTATGTTTTGCCTGTGACAAAAATAGAAATTCTTAAGCTCCACGATCGAGCAGCTGAAAAGGTAGAGGCTGTTAAGACAGCTGAAAGCATGCTAACAAGGGACGCACAGAAATTTGACGAGTTTCTAAGGAGCAGTGATGCAGCTGCCCACGAAGCTATCCGCGTGAGTTCATAAAACTTTTCCTCGAACAAAACACCCGTATAACGCAAAATGTGGGGCTGTTTCCAAAGAGAACGCGCCTTCCTGTGAATCTGCATAAGTGAAACTCCCAATGAACGGCAATAGCGCTGCCACTGCCTGGGCAAACGATCTGCTTCACTCTTGGTGCATGTTATGAATTACTTATGCATTTGGCTCTTTTATTGCCGCACTTTCTTACCATGACTTTGTGATGGCGCAGAAAGCTGACGAAGCAGCGCGGGCTGCTCACGAGAAAGCAGTCGCAGTCCGGCAACTCCGTCAGAAACTCGACGCTACTAAGGCACGCGTTGCATCTAATCGGGAAAAAATTGAAGAATACTCAAGGTATAGATCCTTCCTAGAACATATAACTCCCCAGGTAAGAGCAGTCGGACTGAATCTGGAACCATGGATGTCTCAACATGTGCCCTAGTTTTTACACTACAAGACTACCGGAATATAGCTTAGCCAGTCGAATGAAACGAAATGAATCGCGCAGCAAGTATGCCCTGTACGGTAGCGCTCACTGATATTCATAGGATTGGATAAAGGAACAAGAAGAGCGGACTAAGGAGCGTGTCCAAAAGAAAAAAGAGCAGTGGGTCCAGAATCAGCTGCAGCAGCAGCAGCTACAGTACACCGCCGACATCGAAACCATTGACGAGGACCTCCGTGAAAAAATTCAAGAACTAGAGAAAAAGAAGTTCCGTGGGGCCAAAGCTGGTACGAAACCTACCACCGCGGGCCCAAACGAAAGTCAAGCATGCAAAAATAAGAGAAAAACCGCGATGAGCGTGAAAATGGACACGAAATTTGCCCTTGCAAATCCCCATTTTTCTCTCGCATCTATGTTCGTATTGAGCTTTTAACAAAAGGTCGAGCGTTTACCACTTTCACACCTTCAGGCGCATCTACTCGAAAGGAAATGGAGGAGAGAGCCGAGAAAAAAAAAATGGAGCTACACGGAAAGTTAAAGACCGCGGCAGACCTCGAAAATATGTTCGATGGTGAGTGGACCAGGCCACCTTGGCCACTAGCTGTAAATGCTGTGTGTTTATGAGAACTAGCCGGAATGTTGAAGATCGCTGTGCTTGTCCAGCCACTTTCAAAACGCTCTGCGTTGTCGAACTCGTGAATGCCTACGCATGTGACTCAGTGTAGGGAAAGAGCGTGTTTACGTATGCCTATGCGCTGATTATCCAAGGGTGTCCATGCATTCCTGCAATGTGGCCTGGCTCTGCATTCAGCCGAAAAGTTGGCAGTCACTGGCATTGATCTTTACTTTAAAGATCCGCAAGAACCGCTTCGCCTTTTTCAGGAACTGGAAGAGGATAATCTGTTCCTGATTCAAAACGCTCATGAAGCAGCCATTGTGCGCTATTTGGGAAGGCAAACTGTAGCCGTAGATTTTCCTTTAAAAAGTTCAGCACTTGACGAAGTACATGCAGTAGCACTGCATCCAACTTTACGTCGCAGCTCACTACAGAGGCTCTTCTGTGCTCAGAGTATTCTCAAAGGCATTTAGTATACTTTTTAAGCGATCGTTAATTGCAGGAGTTGGAAACGATGGAGAAACGATTCGGTGACACTCGTGCTGAGATGGGAGCGCGACTGGAAGGTTTAGAAGCGGTGATTGCACAGCTACAACGCCAACTTCAACAGCAGCGCGACAAGTGCATGCAGCATAAAGGCGCGTTGCCCATGCCGTCTCATGACTTCATTCCACGCTACCACAGCGCGCACCTACTTCATAGGTTTATCGTCGTATTACATGCTGAAGCTCACGATGCACGGGCGAGATTTGAGTATAAACCAAGCCTGTAAAAGCCACGCCGCTCATGGCGTTATGTTTTAGTCTGTGGAACAAACACTCCATTGCAATTTGGGTTTGCGGTGCAGAAGAGTTGGCTTTGCAGGAACAGGAGTCCGACGCATCAGCAGCTCTCCAAAAGTTGACTGCTCATGTTGCGGCAATTCATGCAGCCTGTGGCTTTGAAAGTAGGAAACCTGTAGACTTCCTTGATCATAAATGCGCGTTAGAATCCCAAAGATCTGTGATTATGAACAAGAAGTGATGTGGTTTGCGAACAGAGGAAGCCTCTGTGGACTGCCTTCGCATGCTGGAGCAGATTGAAGCCCGCCTAGACTCGCACCTTGCGATACTTGCTAAGCACGAAGGCAACACGCCACTCAAATAGACTACCTATTCGAACGGCAGCACTTATGCGCACAACGTAGCTTCAGTTGATATCAGCAGATGCGTCTTCTGCGCTTCAGCTGCTTCCCAGGATCTCCCCAACAGCTAATTGAGTCTCCTTCATCAAACTTCTTTTCCTGCAGCTGAGAACCCAGAGCTAGTACATCAGCTTGAGAAGGCGAAGGAAAAGCAACGTCGTGAAAGGGCACGGCAAGAAAAGCTGGCCAGGCAGCATCTCAAAAGTGACGAGAGACTTCAGGTGAGCTTGAAAGGGGCCTTCACTGCACAGCATTAACACAGTACTAAGGCTGGAAGAACTGAATCAATTTCTCACAGGTTTTCACCACTAGAAGGAGATATGCCTGTTGTGGGTGGAATGAGCTGCAGATGTCACGTCAGTCTGGAGAGACCCTGGTCCGGGGACCTCGAAGAGCGGTAATGTTTCGTTCTAAGCCATTCTACAAGCAGGAAGAGGTGTGTAAAGGAAACAGATATGCCTCCGACTCTAGATTCACAAGAAGCGGGGTTTCCTCAGTCGTCCAACAGCCGACCACACCACAAGCTTCCTCACAGCACACAAGTGCGCTGCCAGCCACGTTTTCTCTCTTTTGCAGGCTAGTAGGAAGGAAGTTGGGCAATCCGAAGCAGCACTTGATTACGAACTGTACTTCCAGTAGTTTCGTGAGCACCTTGCCATTTCATTGCTCCTTTATTCATGCTCGTCAGTGGAAAGACAACTTGAAGGCAGACTAGCTCGAATTTCATTATTAACGAGCACATAATAGAAACCTCGCGCACCCTTTCTTTTTATGAGACAGACAGACAGCTTGAATTTCCCTAAGTACCTTCCTAGTCCTACGGAAAGCATTTTCACGCGGTGACGATCTTTTTGGAGTAGCCGCTGCCTAACAGCTCACGAGTAGGGAATGCATTGAGCAGTATGGGAACACAAGAACCTGAGGTAATACATAGGGGTTGTACCATTACCTTAAAGAAGTCGCAGATATTTAATGGGCGGGCATCGCAAAACAGTGGCGATTGGTGGGCAGTACTGACTTCCATAATGGATAGGGTCGCTTGCTGCAACGGTTTAGTCTAATTAGCGAGCATGCGCCGATACCATCCCCCGACAGTCCATCCAGACAATGATCCTTTGCATTGCGGGAAGTTTAAAACAACTTTACTTACTTTTTTGAGACTGTTAAACATGGCATTTTTGAAGCACGGTAGCGTCTGGCACACTGGCATATTTTCAAGAATTGCTTTGGGAGATATGCACGGCAACATCTGCATGAAACGGACTAGTTCTGCGCTGTACCGCGCCTGCACTTCCAGAGTTCCAGCACTGTCAAGCAATGCAGTCCCCTTCAAATCTACCTGCAGTGGGTGTGTTCTTCGAACTTGATTGATGCAGAAATGCTTTCCAAAAGTCAGACAGAACCATAGGCAAAAGAGGATGAGGGCCTCTCAGCTAGACGGAAAAGTGCCCGCAGGCTTGAACAAAATGCGAATTCACGTGTCTCATCAAATTTCTGTTAACTCTTGCATTGGTCTTCTTTGACAGAACGCGATTTGCACTGAATCCGCTAGAGTCCTAAGTACTTCCCTTGATTCCCAGCATGTTTCCTCGTTTAGAAACTTTTTTTTGAGGCACTTTTTGCATCCCGTGTCGTATGCGTCTTCTTCAGTAGCACATGGAGTACTATCTGCTGACTGCATTTCCAAACGGAGTTCCCTTCCCAGACCTCCAGATAGATCGAACACACCTGATAAAAATCAAGCTTCGCGTCATCAAACGAGCACCATTTCCGGAACTAACTAGCCTCAGCTCAAAGGCACGCAGCAGGCTGTTGGCATGCCTCCGACAAACAAACTGACAGGCTTTTGACAGCGCTGTTTCGTAGGGCTTTCATCGGGCTTATCTCTCAACAGAGCTGCACCTCAACTGGGGGGACACGTGGGCCTGCTAAATTTATCCACGGCATTTGGTAACAGAAAAACCAGACATGCCTGTTGGAAACGCAACGCAGCTTTTTCTATCTACGTCATGTTCCAGCGTAGTGGAGTCCTAATGACAGCAAAGTCTAACGAAGCGGCTGGCATTCTTCACTCGAAGGCAGTAGAAAGACGGTAGTACCACTTCAAGTCAGTTAAAATGAGTAGCGATGCCAGTAGGAGTCCGAGCCGCGCGATATGTCGGGCTGTGAATTAATTGCACAGCACCTCCAGAGCGTGCATCGGGTACAACGCATCCTCCGCCTGGCAACACTGCGCTCATAGCAGCCCTTTGGCTGGCGGCGGCAGCTGGCGGAGAAATGCTTGTCGCTCCCGCGTCCGGCAAAAGAAACCGGACACAGGGTGACTGGAAACGTGAAGGGCTAGGTAACACTGGAGATGCCTGCATTAACTTCGTTGGGAATGAGCCTGCGAAGACTGGATTTTGCGGCACTAAAACAGCCTGCGGAAGCTCTAAAGCTGGTGCCGCAGCTGCTGTAGGAATTTGAGTTGTTGGAACTACAGGGTATGCGACAGGCCCTGAAGGGTTAACGTTGGATGCCAATGGATATCCAACATGACCGCCGCAAGGAGGGACTATGCATGGCTCTCTACACGGCCCGCAGTGCTCGTCAGCACTAAGCCACTTCGGATGTTCCTCCATGGTGACACAATTTCCAGGGGAGAGGAATGTTACTAGTGGAGGGGGTCTTTTCCCTCTCCTTCGACCAGAGCGCATACGACGTGGAAGTGTCTTCAGTTTTCCATGTGCTATTCTTAGGTCCGCGGCAGCTTCTTCTAGTGTCCATTCTGCCATCCCCATTGTCACTTTATCCCGCGGTTCTAGGAAGTGGCAGTTTACCTGAAAAGAACACTTACAGACCTTGTCAAAACGGGTAGTGTGGGGCCGCAGCAGAATATCTGGGCATCTGCCGCTGGCGAGAAACAAGTTGCACCCAAAACTGAGTCACAGCGGCTGAAACTGGCTTCCTATCTGTACACAAATACTGCAATCTACTTATGCGCCTGCACTTTCATGTATCCATTGGCTATTTGCCCTTTTAATAATCATTCTACAGCCCACCACATAGTTGCCCATTGCCTCATTCGTCTTTGCTCCTTACTTGGTGCAACTTTCGCTGCGCTGCCAAGATGAAACAGCCTGCGGCGAGGCATCTCGCTGGCGCATCTGGCGGTGGAGGCTCGGGTGAGCTCAAGTAGTATTCATATGTTAGCGCCAAATCAATTACAGAAGCCTCATGCTTTATCTCGAGGTCTTCAAATATCTTCCTTGCCCTTGACATACGGCGGGCCATTGGAGGATGTTTATGGCAGTGGCATCCGCAGCAAATGATGCTGCAACAACAACGAATCCTTGCACAGAGCTTCCCTCTATTGCGAATCCACTTGTGGCGGACAGCTTGCGCTTTCCGGAAGGATGGTGCAACAGCTATGAAGGCGTCGAGTGCCAGATGGTAATGTCGGCAAGCGGTATTGACGAAACTGAAGTCAACTCGGCACCTCCCGGGCGCGGTGAATGGTGCAAGCAATCGCTCGATCAGCAGTAAAGGAGCCTCCAAATGGTCAAGTCCTTTTAACAAGGCTATCCTTTCTTTGGCTAGGCAATCTCCAAACGTCATAACTTCTTCTCTCATGCGATACGCTGTGGCGAGAAGGAGTGCACGGCCGGCGTCGCACATAACTAGTCGTGCAGCAGTACCAAGGCCAAATATCTCTTGCCGCTGCCTAATTTGTACTATTTTTTGTCCTCGGCTTCGTTTCTTCCCATCTTCATAGGGAAAGTAGTGCCCGTCTGTACAGTACAGCCAACAGAGATGACGAGATCCAGCATACACCGCTCTGCCTAGCATCAATTGTTGCTGAATCTTTGTGGCTTTTACACATCATAACAAGCACAGTAGTTATTATGCAGGCAGTGGCATCACTGGCACTTTTCTCTGCGTTTCACATAGATTCTAAAGGATAATCCTCTGAAGGGCCCACTGCCGAGGGAAAATCGCATTCCTAAACATATTCAACAGATCAGCAGTGTCTGATATGCTTACCGTACTTCTTGCAGTGTCGCTTGCGACCACGCGTGTGGCAGTGGCCGCGTCCACCGGCGCCCATTTTGTCACAAAAGCACAGTTAGTAACGGAAAAGGTAGGAATCACCGATTATGGTGGAAAAGTGCCTGTTAATATTGTATAAAATGGGTGTATAAAGTACTCCGTGGTATTCGCGTTTACAAGCGACTCAAGTCGTGACGCACTATCGTCTTCCTCGAATTGGAGTTCTGGAGTGAGGGTCACCAACAAGTCGATACACTTGAGAACGGTACCACAGTTCGATCCCTAGTTCCCTCAGTAGCCCTACATAAATCCATTCCAAAAATGTGTGGGAGGTCTTTCACTCCTTCGAGCCTGAATTATCCAAGTGCTACAAGTCGAAAAACTTGAATAAATGACCCATGAGACAGGCCACGTACCCTCGCACATCATCGAGGTCAGCATCTTTGCCCGGTAAATCTCCTTCGGTGCAGTTTACAGCGCAGTTCCTAAATTAATTCGAAGCCAGTAATACACTGAAGGGAACGATCCAGCTATATCTGCCTGCGGAAGAATGCAGGCCA